ATTTAATTCTGTATCGATAATTGAATTTGGCACCGAAATAGATTTATTTCCCACGACTAAATTTTCAATCGCATCCGTTAATCGATTGGTTACTCCAATGAAATTAATTGATTGAACTCTGGACCGTATAGCTTTCATGTCGTTAAAAAACAAAGGAATTCCCGTAATTTCATTTCCTACCATAATAAGCGCTAATAACTTTGGAACAAATTCGAAGAATTCCTGTGTAAAAAACTCCAATTTGTATGAAGATCGAAGAGCGTTTCAAACTTTTGAGCGGCTGTGTATAAGTGTATATGATCCGATTAAGAGAAGACGACGTGTTTTTATTTCGATTTCGAAGGAACGAACATTTTATACGGTGCAATCCAATAAATTATCGAACGGTACGAATGCGGTTCACGTTGCCGTATGATTGCATTGTAATTACATTTTCTCAGCTACGGGAACAAGTTTTGCTGAATACGTATAATCAAACGAAAATTGCGATTAACGCGACTGTGACTGATTATTCTCAGAAGCCGGGCTGCTAGCTTTCGGGGGTCGAATCAAAGAGGGATGCCGCGGATATGCGAAATTGGACATTACATGGGAAGCGGAGTTGATTAGCACACGGAACGCTTCTATGCGGCGACGATTGATGATATTATTGTTGTTAAAGTAGCAATTCAGACAGCTCGGTGACTCGTAAATTACTTACTAGCGCGCAAATTCGACAGGAACACGCCATGATAACGAATCGTCATTACATCGCTTTTTACGCCTCTTGTGTATTCATCGTCGTTTTTACAATCATCGCCTATTGTTCTCCGTCAACATAGAGCGAAACGTCGAGCGTTCCATATTATCGCGGATCGTATTGGAATTCATTGAATTTATTGAGGTAGGATTTGTCGCGTATTCGAGTTTCGAGTAGAGCTCAAAGGTCGTTCAATAAATAAAGCGACAACCGCTAGTACCTAACGTCAGAAATATTTGTTTCGGAAAGCCATAACTTTGGTTACTGCCCGATTTAGGCTCCTCGAAGTTAAAACGTTTCTTCCACCCTCTTGTTGACTGTCTTATCCCTGTAGCAAACAGCCCTCCTGGTTGCCCGGAAATCTAGAGTTTTATTGATCATTTCGAACGGTAAACGTCTGATAATCTATTTCTTCGTTTATTAAGTTTGTCGAACGACTGTAGAATAGAAGTAACAAAGGCACTAAGTGTCAAACAAGAGTTTTTTAATTATGAAAAGCAGATATTTTAAAGCTCTTGCGACTTGTGAGAAACTCTTTTTGTGACTTTTCTTGTTTGTGCCAACAAACCACAAACCGTTGACGATCAACATCATTCGTATTTACTCCACCAAACGCGATCGTAGTGATCGTTTAAATGATATTATATTTGGCGTATAATATCATTGAATGTGTTGAAAGTTCTGTGCTCTTATTAGAAAATCCTACACAGTACGAACATAGTCTAAACTATTATAAACACAGATGCTTAGATCCTGACAATAGTGACGTCAAATGTTCAAAATAAAATATGCCCTATGATTTAGCAGATTTAGCTGGGTTCGCGTATAAGGTGGCTTTTCTTCACGTTCGTGTCGTTACTTATTGCACGATCCTCGTAGATACACATCAGAAAGTGGCATTTAAAAATCGTATCGGAAAACAAATGTTCGACGGTGATTTAAGGGTGGCCCGTGCTATGGTTGGTTCAAGACAACAGGATTCCGAGCGGGTGAGGGGGGTGGTTAGGGCGAAGGAACCAGAAGGAGGGGGACAAACAGAGTGAAAGAGGGAGAAAACACACGGTAGTAAGTGTCAGTTCTTTTGTGAGCATATAATACATCATCGATGCGGCGAGGGCTTTTAAGCTGTCCTGAAAATACCAGCCGGCTGTACGAATTATTAATGTCCCACCTCCTTATAAAGTACTCAATTTTCGTTCTGTACGGAAGAGAAATATTAACCGTAATACGGGCATGGCCACAACGAAACGCTGCAGTATATCAGACCGTGCGAAAATTACAGCGCCGACGAAGATGTTAATATCGGTGAACTTTATCGTCCACGCGCTGGAAGCAGGAACACGCGACACCGAGCGCACATTGTTTTGACAAAAGGCCGACCCATCGAACTTTATCGCGACCATTGTAAAACTTCCGACCCGTACGTGGACTCGCGCTGCCCTTCCTCGAATACCGTAAATCATCAGATCCGGGCTACCTGTGTAAAGATTAACTCAATCGATTTCAAACGCATCACCCCATCGCGAGATTATTGAATTCAAGGTAGACCATTCAACATCGTTGCCCCTATATTAGATCGCTCGGAGAGTTCTGTCTGCTCGTGAACGTACGATAGGAATTCGATTCTTGAGAACATCTTATATTCAAGATGAAATCACGGCGGTCAAAGTAATCAGGGAATCGACTGTTCAAGCAGGTTCATCGCTAAGCGTGATACTCGGTAGCTTCGAGAGTTTCGGTACGTTGTGTATGTAAGGTGATTTACTGGAAACGTGCAATAGAACACAAGGTAACTACGCTTAATTCCTTGCAACAGGATTGTTATTTCGGGTGTAGGATATGGACATATTTAAGATTGTTTATGTTGCTAGACTCTTTCGAACTACGATCAAATACAACGAAATGTTGTTGAATATTCAATCAGTGAATGTGATGCTTCTTCATCATGAAACATTTATAGTTACCATTTGTTATATCATGTGAACAATATTTGTATCTTATAAAGTATAGATACAAGGATTTGTCAGTTATTTCTTGTCCAACGCGTAGGAAGTATCAGTGGTAACAGAATTTCAGAGAATCGTTTAGAAAGAACGTATAGTCACGAAGTTTATATTTTGTTTTTGATACTTCGTTCGTGGTTTTGTATCATTACGTATCGTGTTTTCAGGGAGATTGTGAATGTCGGAATCACCGAAGAATGGGAAGACATACACTTGAAACAAACTTTTTACCGGAGAGACTTCCCTTGGCTTCGTATTCAGTTCCTTTCATGCCTTTCATTCTTGGGAAGGGCTTGTTTATGGCACCCTGTAGATACCGTAAAATAGGGAATAGTTCTCTAGAGGCAAGACGGAATTTTTCTTAAGACGTGATTGGAGTTAAATCCTTAGACGTCATGGCGACAGTATCTCTTTCACAACCCTTGTCCCGAACTTATTTCGAATCACGTCGTAAAGAACGATACAATTTGAAAGAGTATGCTTATCTTTCCTTCTTAATTTTCAAAAACAGTCGGATAGTCTATGGATATTTAAACAACTTTTTGCTTGTTTCTCAAATCCTAGTTATTACCTTCTTAATTTAATATCTACGTGAAGTGAGAATATTTTCCATAGTTTCAGCAAACTTTTCAAGATTTTGCTTTCATTTTGTAATCAGTAGTTTGTATCTGCGGAGTGTAGTAATTAGTAAATATTCATTCACTTTGTTTTTATGAAGTTTCTTGTTTTCCATTCTGGCTCAACTATTGTTCTGAACCAGTGTTCAAAGTTCTTAAATAGTTTATATTTTCGTATGATTATCATTAACGAAAATGTTTATTCGCGTAAGTAGTAACAAACAGAGTAAGAATATTCATCTAGAAGTTCTTTTGCAAATAAAATCGAGTCAAAAAAGTCAAAAGTGCCAATTTGTCCACACCTGTTGCAGTGTATACAAAATTCATACAAATTAGAGTCACATAAATATTTTTATATAATGTGTGTATCAATATTTTATAACGACTACATATAGTTCACTATAAGTGAGCAATGATAAAATGTTGTGATAGTGAAATTAAAACAATTTTGGCTTTCAAAGAACAGGACGTAATTGCAGAAATTGCTAAACCAATTGATAGAAGTTGCAAAATGACATATAATACAATTTATTGAAAGACGCGAATATCTACGAAAGAAAGAATTTATGTGTTCGGGAACATTACCTGTTTAAAACTGCTGTAGAACAGCGAAGGAAATCGTCTGTAAAGTTGGAGTTACAGCCTCATTCCCATTTGGAAGCGTAGATTTTAGGTGATTTGATTTTTAAGAGAAAGAATCATTATGTAATTATGTAGATCGAGGGTTTTAAAATTTTTCATCCTAGCAATTATTATTACTCAAGTTGTCACATGGTTCTTGATATCTGAATAATGGTTTGACCTGTTCTTTGAAATTTTACATGGATGTAAAATGGAGGATCATCTACCATCCAGACTAAAATAATGACACCACGTGCAGTAACCTTTTTTTTTTTATTAAAGAATTCAAAGATCAAGGGTTCAAAAATTTTTCAAATTTTACACAAATGTAAAACGAAGGGTCATCTATCCTTCAGGCTAGAACGATGTGCAATAGCCTTCTTTATATTACAAAGAATAAAGTTTGTCCAACTTTGTACCGTGTATCGATGACATATTATTAGACCGGGAAATCAAGACTTAAACGTCATGTTGATGGTCCCCGTGTAGGGCTCGAAGGTGTTAACAACGAGGGGAAGCCCGAGCCCCGCATAATCTCGCGATCGTTCGATCAAGGGTATCGTGCCGTGCGGAGACGCGGTTCTTCTCGCACCATTTCTATGATGCATTGCTGGCGCGTTGTCGTCGCGGGGGAGAGAAAGAAGGGAAGAAACGTCGCGCGTAAAACAGCGTCGTCAGAGTAACGAGGCGTATTTTTAAGCCCGCATGTGGTCCGCGGAGATCCGGAGTTGGTGGTGACGCGCGTGCTTGGATTCGACTGGATTCGAGTGCGCGCGTGGTGGCGCACGAGCGCGCAGCCGACGAACGACTAGGGTGGCGATGCTTTTGATAGTGGGGGTGATCCTCGCGATACGGGTGGGGATGGCAACTCAGGGGAAAACTGCGAACGCTGGAGCACGCGGGTTGCCGAGAGACAGGGGTCGGTCCGCCTGGTAGGGGGTAGGGGTAGCTCTGAATCCCTCGAAACTCTGACGATGCTCTCTCTCTCGACTCAGTTCCGAAAGCAGAGCCAGAGCCGAGAGTACACTCGAGGCTTGTTCGTTTCGCGTATCGCGTCGAGCTTCTCCCTCTGCTCTGCTCGTCGTCGCGTTCTACTCGCACACGCGGATACCGTTTGTACTATCGACCTCGCGGTGCGTTTCTCGATCCTCGGGTGCGTAGATCGACACGGATCGCGCGAGTTCCTCGCGACAGATTGCTGCCACGAAGCTGTGAAAAGGAGGTTGAAACACGGGCTCTCGTCCTCCTTTCGGTATGTCCCGATCGTTGGACGGTGATTTTTCTTTCGTAAATTTCAGCGGGGAAACGTTTAGGGATACTCGGCTCGAGTGGCGGGCAGAGAACAGAGGAAAAATAAAAGGGAAAACGTGCGCGATGTTTCTGAAAGGAGTCAGAAGGGCGAAAAGGGTCACGAATGTATCTGGAAAGCGGACGGCTGTAAAAGAGTGAAACGTGCAGCTGAAACCACTGGCGCGGAGGTCTTTTTCGGGCAACAAAGCGCTGCTCTCCTTTTTTTTTCGCCGTTTTTCAGGAATTCCGCTCTTGCCAGTGACAACGAAAGAGCTCGTCGATAGACTTCGTCGGGCACGTGTGTGCGTGGGCGTGATGATATTTGAACTCTCGAAGCCGTCAAAGTCTCGGCCCCTTTGGCGGCCTGCGCTTTTGTTCGGAGCACTCTGGAGAGAGAGTCGCGAGAGGCATCTGGCATTTAATGGAGATGATAGTCGTTTTCCTTTGTCACCGAGTGGATGCGTTTGTTTAATATCTAAACGTCGCGAAACGGCCACGTGTCTCGCAAACGTTTCTTCGTTTCATATTTATCACGCTACTGTCGCGTCGTGTTTGCTCCGTTTACGAAATTTCCGCTCCGTTTCTGTTCTATAACTTTTTCCAACAAATAATCGGAACACAGATTCTTCGAGCCACGACGCGAACGTTTGTTATCGATGCACGAGCTTTTTATAAACGATAGTTAATGGACCGTTCCTCGCGCGAATATCGAACAATCCGATCGTAGAAACGGTACACGGGTGCAAACCATCAAGACAGAGCAAACGCTCGGATGTATATGCACAAGGGATTTTGTGTACCCAGCTTGCGGCTCGATGATTAGAGGTGGGAATAAGCCGATACCAAGATATACGGCTTCCGCAAATACGTTTCACGGTCTACTTTCCTTAGTTCCGATGCATATTGTTCCCGATTCAACGGCGCAAATCTTGTAACACGCCGCGCGAACATTTTTATTCTCTTGGTAGCCGCGTCGAAGCACGACGACTAATCGCGACGATTTATTAACTCGCGAGCGCACAAAGCGTGCGCGATTCGTTTAAACGCGCGCGTAACAAGTCGCCGCTTCGTATATCACGGACGTGTCAGCCGGCTTTAATTTCGTCGAATAGAATCGACGCGCGAGACAGCGCGTTATCGAGACAGTTTTAATTAACAACGGTCTTCGAAACGCGCGCGAAATACGCCGGACGGGGATCGATTCGGAGACGCGCACGATCTCCGGTTACGATCAATTTAAAAGGCCATACGTTTCTGCGAAACACGTGGATGATTTATGTCGCGTCCTAAATACGTGATTTGTACAAATGGCTCGGGGGATTACTGCGGAAAATGACGACGAGATATCGATGCCGTTCTCTACTTCAATTACGCGTAAATCATCGCGCTCGGAAGCAAACGTTAAATGACTCGCGGTCTATTAAGTCCACCACCGTTGAATATTATTTTCCGCGAGGCGCAACGTCGATGTTGATCTTCGAGGATAGGGAAACAGAGATCCGTGACAACGTTTTTGATTGAACTTTGAACGTAGAAACACGCGTCCGAATAGTTGTCGACTTTCTCTCGATCCGACGAGACTCTCTCTCTCAGGAGACGTTAGAGATCGCCGGTCAGTGATTCATCGAAGTCGGTGAGAAATGACTTCGTAGGCGTATGGAGCCACCGCGAACAAACCCGGCATGCGACGATCGACATGTTCTATCGTTCCCGAACCGTGCCGCTTCTTCGATTTAAGCTACATCGCCTACAACGGCGCTTTAGTGCCGAAGTTTAACAAGTCCGCTTCGCCGACGTTCCGCCCGAGGAGATTTAACCGGTCCCTTAAACTCCGATAATTGGCCGGGCACTATGCATTCAGTGAAATTGGCATCAGCTGCTTCGAAGCTGGTAAAGAGCTCGCGTACAAAGAAATCGAAACGGCTTGGCTTCTCTCATCGACGAATTTCTATCGGATTTTAATTGCGGGATTACGGGAACAGGAGGAAGGATTCCGTGGGTGCGGGGGGAGGCGCAGTAGATAGGAAACGTCGCGATGTTTTAACGAAAGGATCGGTCGATGTAAAGTATCTTTAACGGGTTTACAGAGTCGCGAAACGATGAGCGAACCTGTGGTAAGCGAAGACCAGTCACGCTCAAGGGTGAACTCGACGATGAATCTTCGATGAAGACGCAATCTAGTTGCGAACCGACGCATAGAAGTCTGAATCGATTGGCGCAGAGATACAAGGGACATAACGAGTGACGATGCGCGTGAAAAGTTGACGACGCCATGTGACGCGAGCAAACTGGAATTCCTGTGCGACAGCATTGCGCTGATGTTGGATTGTGCGACGCGCACGTCGTTCGAATGGACCCTTTGCCACGGATGACAGCTAGGATGTTTAACAAGTGACAGTGCTCGAGAGTTGAACTGAAAAAGAACGACTCGATCGTGATTAAATCGGTGATTCGGTGACGATTACTGCGAAGGGTAGAAATTAGTAGTGATGCCGTGATGGGCTGCAGCTCGGGATCGTTTCTCCTAACTACGCTCCTCGTGGGTGGATTACTTTTAGTCATCCTGCTCAGCGAGACATCCCACGCAACACGTAAGTCAACAATCTTTTACTTTTTTTGTTACTGGATAACAGCAGAGCATCCATTATTAATACGATGACACGATTACTCGACGAAGAACATTTTCAGATGAATTATTTCCTTCCTCGTTAATTATTTTAAAACGTGAATAATAAATGAAGCGAGATAGAAAATGTTTTCGGCTCTGACGTAAACACCAAGAAATTGTCGGATAGTCGAATACTTAAAAATAATAAAATACTGAAAAATGAAAAAATAGCGTAAAGAAACGTTTTTAAAGTTCATTATTCATTATTCATTCATGCACTTATTTTTTAAATTAAATTATGTATTTTTTTTACATAAATTAATTCTTATCGTCATTCCGCGTGTAAAAGTGCCAAGTATGATCATTTGAAACGTTCTACTTTACTACTTACGTAAAGTACGTAAGTACTTACGTATACTTACGTTTCTACTTACGAGATATTTCATATTTTTTCATTTATATTCGATCCTTCTTGTTGAAATTGTATTAGTCACACTAGATCACGTAATACTGATGGTCGTAGTTACCAGATATCGGGTAAACAATGCGATTTACAAACTCATTTCATTCAGTTCGTGGCAGATTAGCGTCCACTTTTACTTATTACATTGTATCAATTTGAAATATATCGTAATGAATGTCACTCGTAATGAGAAAATTGATATTTTTAATGTATTTGTATAATGAACTGAAAATAGACAGAATGCTGCAGCGGTATATCCAATATTCTGATCAAGAACATCATGAATGTACTTTTATAATTTAAAAAAGAACTTGAGAAAATATGGTTTATTTATAAAACCAAAAAGAAAATATACGAAAACAACAATGAAAAGTTCACTACTTCAACACAGAAAATAATTAAAGTTCTGTCTCTCGATTTTTGAAATCATAGAATTTTTATCTGTGTCGTTATAAATAATGGGAAGTTTAATAGAAAAAATGAGCAAGTATGAGTTGGAAACAATCATTTCATTAGAAAACAGTGTCAATACATTTTCAACGGTCACACTTTAACGATCAGAAGAATCGATTTATGTACAAAAAATAAGGCTATTTCTAATGATAAAAAGTATAGTTAGGGAATTTGTCCGCCTATTGAAGGGTTAATATCGAAGTTTGGGAGCACATATATGCTTTCAACATTACAAACAAATTGTTTCGACTTTGGAACTCCGAATCAAAATGATTTACAAAAATAAATTGGTGTTTCGTTCGGATTTTTGCTGATGGAATCGTCGATAAAGTTGACCCAGCAAACTTTCTAGACCCGACTAGATTTCGACTGACTCTGGCTTTAATAGCTTAAGTAAATTTCTGATGGTGCATTATTCGATGTGGAATAATGAACGATCAGTGATCTATACGTTTTAGTAAAGTCAACAAATTCCCAATTCTTTGCTTGCAACTTTAGACTCGTCCATCTAGCTCTGATTGTTCCAATTACTAGGTACACTGTTTACGATTGCTTTCATTAAAAACTGAACCAGGGAACGTAAGATGTCATTTAAATTAATTAGAGGCATTATCGCACGTGAGGTTATTTGATACTTCAAAGTCTTTAGGGCCATACGAAGCGATCGACATTATTTGTACATTTTTAGACCTTGTTTAACGAGCAGTGTATTTAAAAAGGATAATTCGCGCGGTGCATCCCGCAAAGAAACCGGTTTCATTAGGTAAAAATTGATGTGAGTCAATATTTTCGTAGCTGGAGCGAATTTAGCGCGATTTTGATAGCAGACTCGCGCAAGGAGAGACTATCGCTTTACCAAGGAAGCGACTTACTGTATTTCTGTGCGTATTTTCACTGATAATACTACTTATTGTTACAAAAAATACGCGTTACGTTTTCTTGCTTTGAGACTAAATATTGGCCCGCGACGCTGGAAACATTTGAGAAACATTATTTTCTTCGCAAACCGGCCGTCGAAATGTATATTCCCGACGAATCGGGACGTCGATTATTTTGCGAAATTGCTAGTCTCGCGATAATTGCCAACGCCTAGCGTCCAGGAAAATAATGGAAATTCCGTCGTACTTGTCTAACGCATCGACTTTAGTTCGAGTATTTGCTAGAAGGTGTTTAATTGCTTTCGGAGCGCTCCGTGATCCGTTTCTATGTCGTTTCGATCGACGAGAAGCGTTTCCTTCAAGCGTTTACCGCGCATAAAAACGCACGCGTTCTGTATCGTGCTGTTTGCACGTTGAAATATAGGCCGCTGAGAAAATAGCATAGAGTATCGCGAAAGCTGGCGGGATAAGAATACAAACGAGCGTGGAAGAATAAGACGGTAAGAGAAAGAGAGGACGTAACGAGGCACAAGAAAACGAAACGTGATGAAATGGCCTGTTTAGCTGGAATATACGCGACGCATCGTGAAAAGGCAGGAACGATACAACGGAATATAAACCCCTTCTCTGGTGCTGGCTCGTCGTATCCAGCCTGTACGGAGCTGCTGGTGGACCGGCGAGGGTGGAAGAGAATAAGAGAGGGTGGCAAAGAGGGCGTGAACGGTGCGGTGGTTTGGCTCAAAGGACGTTGAAGCCAGAATGGGACGCGGACGTTGTCACGATGGGTGTGAGATGGCTGATATTCTCTTGTTTTTTTTTTTTTGTTATTAAGGAGGACTTCCTTTCTATCTTTCTTTCGTCTTTATTCCTTGTTTTTTCGTCTGGTTCTGTCTTGTAGACGAGTAATGTTCTCCCAACGCGCTTGTCCTCGTTCATTTCGCCGACGGCCAGTTGGAGAGAACGCAGGCGAATAGTATTATAATTATTTCTAACATAACCGGATCGTCCCAGTACTTTGTATTGCCAGTCTGCACAATTTCAGTATCAGTAATATCGTAGAATATCATTTATTAGAAAGTCTACTGTCGGGAAGACCGATTATCCGAAGAAACGAATCGGACTCATCGTGTATTATCGTGTGTCCGAAATTGGATCGATAATTATATTATCTTCCGAAATATATCATGGTCATTCTTTAATCGATCGAGATAGTGCCTAAAAAATGTTGATAGTAAGTGCTTGGAAGTACGATAAGTGTTATGAAATGAGTAACAGAAGGAAAGAAGTGGTATCTGTGTCATCGTTCGCTCAATTTATTCAGTTGCTTTAGGTACAAGTTTATGTTATAATAGTGCAAACGTCAATTTATTTAGAAACCTGTTCGAAGGTCGTTCATTAGAAATCTCATGATGGGACATCATCACAAAAACACAATTTATATAAATCTTTATTATTTAGTAATAAATGTTTCTACGGATAACAAGAAAGTATCTATACGTTGATACTCTGTCCAATATAGTATAGGTTCATTTTAAAAACTGGGACAAATCTTCTTCCTAAGTGAAGATATAAACAATTGATACAGGAAAACGTTGAATACTGCAATGGGCTCTGTAATGTATTAATAAAATAATTCTGGTAAATAATGACTAGTATAACGATAATGCTGTTACGTTGTCCACTTATTATATTTCGATGAGCATTAATAGTTCTCTTAAAAAATTATATAATTAATACGCCCCTGCTCCGCGTTCCACACTTTGTTGGAACTTCTTGGCTTCTTATTAATTTTAATAATCGACGTTCTATTTTAGATGATTTGTCTAATGTTTGTAATTCACACTTTTTTTTTTATTGAAAAAATGTAGCACGTTATTAATACGATTGAAAGTTTTAATATATGTTAACTACGATCAATGCTGCACTTCTTTTACATCGTTGCTACTATTTTCGCGAAAGGTAAATGTGGAGTAAACTTGCGAGCCATATTTAACAAAGAATATAATTTGTGCTTGCTTAAAAAATTATAAAAATATTTCGGCGTTAATATTAAAAATATTTTATCATTAAAAGATATTCTTCGTCTGTAACCATGCATTTTCTTCGCTCCTAGAAAATTATAAAGAGAGACGTCTTTCTTGGAGTCTGATTCTCTCCCTAGCATTTTGCAGAAATATTTTATAAGTAATAGCAAAGTAACAAGCTACAATTAAGGATCTCTTTTTCATTGATGTAACTTTTCACTGAAACTCTTAGCGCGCGTCAAGTTTCTAATTTCATGTACTCTCGTGCTGCTCGAAACAAGGATTCCGTTCTATTCCATTTCATCTTCATCCATTTTGTTCCCTCCCGATGCTTTTAAGGAGACGCCAAGGTAAATGATGTCACGGTTATTTTCATAAAAAGAAACGTCCACGTTTATGTCATTTTTCAGCGTGTTCGGTATTATTATTTCCAATGTCGACGCCTCGCCATTGGCGCATCCGTATTCTTGACAAACGTTTGTGGACAGTTTCCTTTCGCATCAGCCTTTCGCATTCTCTCCGGGCAACGCGCTTTTCTTCTACTCGTTCCACGTCTTCTCAACTTCCCCTCAGAATTTCCTCCATTCCCCTTTAAGAGCGTAATAACTATTCTTATTTGCTAGCTAGAAATCTTGTTTGTTCTCTTCTGGTTCTTTCTCTTCCTTTTCCATTTTCGTGCTCTCCGCGGTATAAACCTCAGAATGTTGAATGGATTTCTGAAGGGTACTCGAGTATCCACATTTGCCCGACTTTTCGGGTCAGTTTCGGACGGCGCCTCTCGGAGCGACAGACGCTTCAATAAAAGTTTGCAAGTTTCGTTCTTAGCGTCGTTATCTGGACGCATCCGCGACTTGCATTTCCTTTTTCTTTTCGTTCGATGCAATCGACGATCGCAGCATGGTTTCTCCCTAATCTTTTGTCACTAGAATAATTTCTTTTTCGGAGAAAGACCGAAAGACAGTGCTCGACGACGATCATTTGTGGTACTCGTTAGGAAAAGAATTATTTATATATTAAGAAATCAGGACTGTCGCAGCGAGAACACCTCACATGACAATGTATTAAATTAAAATTCTTTGGGCTCGTTCGTTTACGAAAGAACTGGTATCGCGTGTCAGGCGATAATTAGTAACAAGCACGAGACGAACAAAAAACCTGCATTCGA